CCCCCCCCACCCAAAATAGTACTTTCACAGACTAGTGGGAGTGAACTTTTCTTATTCACCATCTTCTATGACTGTGCTAACAGTGAAGGTGCCAGACTCAGAGGCAGACTCACACTCCAGTACTCCTTTAGTGCTGTCATTGCTGATAGGAGAGCTGCTGGAAAGCGACACCAAGCCAGAATCTTGACTGCTGGGAGGAGAAAACACTAGAGAGCAAATGGAAGAAGGAGGTGAGGGGGAAACAAAACAAAAACAACATTAACTTTAGGTGAACTGGACCAAATGGGAAAGCAGCACCATCATCACTTTGCATGATGGGGTCCATATGAAGGGACCAACTTTTCCTTGCTAGAAAACACTGCTAGCAATAAAGATTTGGACAAAATGTCGATAGATTCAGGTTCAATACAAAATGGTTTTGAAGGGATCCTGTCTGCTGCCCCTGTTGCAATCAAAGGGTCATGTCACACAGCCCATCAGGTTAGGTTAGGGCAGGTTAGGCATGCCACTTTCTATATTCAGTGGCCTGTAAGTGCTCACATCATGTTCAGCCACCTTCCATTTCCTTGCCTCAGCAACCACGTACCCATTTACAACTAGTCTAACTAAGATCAGCCTTCAGAATAAGTCCAAAATGGGACTTAAACTCATTCTTGTGGAGGGTTACCAGCCTTCTTTAAAGGACTCTACCACCAACTCTCCCCTTTGCAATAGCTAGCCCCAAATGGTTGCAAAACCAGGACAGGTATCATACCTCAGTTATACAGCCAAACTTTTCGGTATAGTTCTCTGCAGCATTTACCAGAAACTGCATTTCCTTACATGGGACAAAAGGATTTGGAGAGCAAAAGTCACTCCACATGCACAGAGGAAGAAAGATCCCATTAGCAGAAGGATGACAAGGATCTTGGGAATCTACTCATTTCTGACATACCTCCTGCTTTTGAGAAAGGGGAAGCTGTCCCCCAGTGGAAAGGCAAGAATTAGGGCTGGACACTCCAAGAAATCCACTCAGCATATTTCCATGTTCTTCCAGTTACTATGGTAGGCCCTCAAATAACAATATACAATGATAAAAGCCACAAACTAGATCCCCACCCTCCACAGTAGCTTTTCTTATAGGGGAAAAATACAATACATGGCATATAATAGAAGAGTCAAAACATCTGAATACCATCCAGCCTAAATACCAGGGCATTAAGGGGAATAACGAAGAGGTTAAGTGTAGCGTTAGCAATGAAATAAGTGGCAGAAACACAGGAATGAAAGCTGCACATAAAATAAGCCTCTGGTCTTAAGAGAAAAGCTCAGACAGCAAGATGCTGAAATTAAATATTAAAAAAATAAAATAATATAGTGCTGAAAATCTTTGCAACATTATAATTCACAGTAGATACAAAAACCAAGTAAAAGGGTCTCTGACCTTCTTAACCTTAGATGAGTTGAGATCCATCCCCAGCACTCCCTTCCTGCCTAGCGAGAATGTAATTAAGGGGAAGCTGCAGTGGTAATTTCTCTCCTCATTAACTTCCTGATTGGTTTCAGGCTCAGAATTCCATCGGGCTGCAGTTTGTCACCAATTCCAAATGGCCAATCGTTAATACTAATGTTTGTGTAACTAACTGCCAGCATCTGCCACCGCTTCTTGTACAACAATAATGGTGAAAGGGTAACATTAGTGCTCCAGTGTTAATTCAGGTTCTGTTCATCAATAGGGAAATCTATGATGTAATTAGCAAAATGCATTGGTAGTTGAGCGCTAGAGTCATTTGTAGAAAACTAAATCACACCAGAGGCTGCACAGGCTCCTGACATTAAACATCAATACTTATTATGTTCTGAATTTTACAATTTAGTGGGGTATATTACCAGGATGAGATCTTTTAAAAGAGAACATTGTTTATAATCATTGTTTATTTTTTTTAGATGTTATGATGGACCTAGTACAACCACACAAAAACAAGCAATACAGCATTAAGGTTCAAACTCGAGGCTGCTGTGCCTATGCTATATTTGAATGTCGAGTATTTATGATGGAAGGTGATTAAAGAGTGGGCCAGATTTAGTGATCTTCTCCTGCAATGTAACTCCAAAGGAACTCCAATGAGATTTGGGCTAGTGTGACTGCCCTAGTTTAACTTGGAGCAGATTGTGGCTCCATACCTAAAGGTAACTCTTAATTCCCCAGTCTTGGTGGGTTAACCTGGAATTTGATCATACATATTTGTACGTTAATTTACAATGTTTTGCTTTTATAAGATCATTGTAATTAGAGATGAAAAAGGTATGATAGACCTTGGCTCTTGTTTCACTTCCACCTACTTTACAGCAGCATAACTCCATTAAGCCAAAATCTACAATTATGTAGCGGTCACCTCTAATGATTTCAGTGCTGTTTTGTTCATTTGTTATTGAATATGACCCACAGACTTCAGAACAGTAAATATCACCTGATAATTAACCAGAAGCTAAATTTATATTGTACCTGAAGAATTAGATATGAAAATAATATGCTTGCCTTAGCCAAAAAGTGAGGAAGTCAATGTATTTTTTAGAAGCAGAAGGGACATTAAAATAGGGAAAAGATGGCTTTTGAAACATTTTGGCTAGCCAATACTGCAAGCTGACATTGGTATTGTGACCAAAATATGTAATTCCACATATGGGGCTGGTGCCTGCTATACCATGACTCAGACACCAGGAGGGTATATTTCTATCCTAGTTGAGTGCATTTTCATTTAGTCAGATAAACAGAGCTGTGCAGGTCTGTGTACCTGAAATGTTTTGAAGCCCTATGAACCAAGGCAATTGGAGAAACCAACTTATTCATGCACCAGGGTGACAGAGTAGTGCTTGGGTAAATGACAGTCCTTGGCTATGGTGGCTGGCTAAGATCATTAGGTGCCTTCAATACAGTAGTCACCACATGTAGGTTCTAGCAGAATTAAATGAAGACTGCACTTTTCCTCCCAAGGATCCCACTGCATAGTGTTCAGCTGTTGTTTTGCCCTGAGGAAGCTTTCTGTCTGGTGTTTCTTACGGTTTTATTCTGTCACACTCCTCTGTATAAATGGTAAAGGAAGGATAATTAGTCAAGAAAGAGGGGTTGTGATGTCTTCTGGATGTGTATGATGATCCACTTGTTTTGATCCCTTTCATCTAATGCAGTTGGCATTTTTTTTTCATTTGCCAGTGCCTAACATCAGTTGGTAAAGATGTTGGTGAGGATGATATCTTTTACTGGACCAACAACATAGTTGGAATAAAGTTAGACAAGCTTTTGAATGCAAGGCATCAGAATGAAGAATCTCTTGCTTTTGAAAGCTCATCTAATTTCATTCCAACCATGCCCTTGGTCCCCCCCCAAAAAGATAACACTCTCCAAAACACCCTTGTCTCAAATAATTCCCGGACCATCGCTGCTACATCACTCTAATGCTTCCAAAACATCAGCTGGAGTATAGATAAATACTGGCTAGCAAATCTGGAGAAGAGAAGGTAAGAATGGAGGAACAGGCAAACGCTGCTATTTCAAATTCCTGAAGGGTATGAGCTCACTTTTAGTGAGTTTCATAGTCTGGGCATCCTTTAGGTACCTGGCCCATTTCAGTATTATAAGTGGCCATACCTGCATTCTGTCATTTATGACAGTTAGAAAACTGCACTCTTTGCATCAGTTTGAAGAACTTGCAAAAAATGCTCCAGGACTTGGTTGATCTGATCCTTCCTGCCTGTGCCTCTGCCACACTGCTGCTCTGACACAGGAAGCATCAGCCCAGAGGTCACAATGCAGTAACTCTCCTGTTTAACGATATTTCTCATTTGTAGCATGTTCGTTTCTAATCTGTTGTTGACTACAATTTAAGTCTTGGTTTTGACCTATGCAGCTCAATGGTGTGCTGGAATCTTGCTATCTGAGAAATGACCTCTCTCATGTGATGCTTAGCATTTGATGTAAGCAGAGATACCTGTCTGGTGTAGAGTTGGCTAGCCAGGCATTCAGCCCTTTATTTTGAAACATGCTTTCCCCCTTTGGTTCAGCAGAGCCCAAGTCCGTTAATCATCAACACATGTTCTATGCAATATCTGTTTTTGCAGATGCTTGAGGGGGATGGGTTGTGAAGGGAGTGATTGGGGTCACAGGGGGATAATTTTTTGTTTGATCATGAACAGCTGAATGGGTGAGAATTTTATTTATTTGATAGGATTTGTAAATATTTTAGTGTACATGTGCCTAGAGTGATGGAAAGGCACATTTTTAAATACTGAATTCTATAAATCTCCATGACAAACTTTCAGAAAGTGTTTTTTTTCTGCCCCTAAATAAAAAGGGAGAACAAAAAAAAAAAATCCCACCTCACTCTCTGTGGCAGAGATGTTAATAAATGGGGTAGGAAAACTACATCCACTTTTTACTGGATATTGACACACGTTCACTTGGTAATTTATGTTAATATACACCAAACAACTCAAAGTATTCAGAAACTCAAACTAAAGCTGGTTAAGCATCTAAAGCTAGGCACAGTAAAGCTATACTCTGTGTCAGCGAGCCCGTCTACAAATGAATTTAAGTGGGCTTAAATTTAATGCACATTAGCCTAATGCACATTAAATGTTTTTTGACAGGTGTCTACACGTGGTGGAACTAGGGACTAACTTTAGTCCCAGGTCAGAACAGCCCTGCTAATGTGTCCCTGTGGCCACTACAGGGAGCTCTAGCCTCTGGCCACATGGCTGCCAGCATTTGGCAGCCATACTGAAGCTAGAGCCAGCTGCCAGCACTTAGCAGCCATCTTAAAAGCACACCCTCTGCACTGTGACCTCTGGGCTGATGCTTCCTGTGTCAGAGCAGCAGCGTGGCAGAGACACAGGCAGGACGTGCCTCCTCTGCTCCTGCTGCAGCTGTGCTTCCTAGTCCTCACTGCCCCAGCTCCTGGCACTGGTGCCCAGGGATAGGGTCCCCCCACTCCTGAGGAATGCCACAGCTGCCCTGCTCACCCCTCGCTAGTCCATGTACCTGGTGCTCAGCCACGTAATGCCGCCCAACACCCCCACCCACTCTGGCTGCCTGCTGGACAAGTGGTACATGGCTTTCCAGGGCTCCCACTGCCACACAACTGTTCCTGCCAGTCCTGGCAACCACAGGTTCCAGGACCACTGCTGGGACTGCCGTTGCCCTCCTGTCCCATGAATCCCACTGCTTCTG